AAACCGAACGACATGACCAGAAACTCATAGTGACCATAACAGATCTTGAATGCTGTCTTGGGAATATCACATTCCCTTACTTTCAACTGATGGTAGCCATATCTGAGGTCTATCTTAGAAAATAAGAAGCACTCTGAAGCTGATCGAAAAGATCATCAATTCTCGGAAGAGGATACTTGTTCTTGATGGTAACCTTATTCAACTGACGATAATCTATACACATCCTAAGGGAACCATTTTTCTTTCTCACAAATAATACTGGAGCCCCTCAAGGTGAGACACTTGGTCGAATAAAGCCCTTATAAAGGAGATCTTTCAACTATTCTTTAAGTTTTTTCAACTCTGTTGGTGCCATTCTATATGGCGGAATAGAGATAGGACGAGTATCTAGAAGAACATCTATACAGAAGTCTATCTCTCTCTCAAAAGGAACTCTGGGTAGATCATCTGAAAAAACTTATGGAAACTCTTTTTACTATAGGAACTGACTGAATATGAGGTATCTCAACATTAGAGTCATTAACTCGGACCAAGTGGTAGACACACCCTTTGGAACTAACTTTCTTGCCTTAAGGTACGAAATAAAATGATCCTTAGGCACTGCTGAACTACTTTTCCACTCTAAGACTGGCTCATTAGGAATTTGAAACTTGACAACTCGAGTTCTACAATCAATGGAGGCATAATAGGCATGAAGCCAGTCCATACCTAGAATGATGTCAAAATCTACCATGTCTAACTCAATTAAATCAGCCATGGTGTCTTTGTGATTGATGGAAATGACACAATCACGATAAACTCGCTCAGCTAGAATAAACTCCCCAACAAGTGTAGAAACACAGAAGAGTTCACAGAGTTTATTAGGAATAACATCAAACTTATTTGCAACAGAAGGGGTTACAAAAGATAAACTTGCTCCTGGTCTAGCAAAGCATAAACATCAAAAGTAAAGACTTTGATCATACCAGTGACAACATCTGAACAGTTCTCTTGTTCTTAGCGACTAGTGATTGCATAAAGAGGTTTACTCCTCCGCCAGTACCGGATCTAGCTCCTCTAGGTGCTGCCCTGTCTGGTGGTGCAACTGATGAAGATTGGGCTCTATTGCCCTGATTTTCACTACCTTGCCTGTTCTAAGGGCACTCTTTCACGAAGTGACCCTCTTGCCCACACTTGAAAAAACCTAACTGGCCCTCACGACACTTACCTGGGTGGGTTCTACCATACCTAGCACATGCAGGAGCCCAGTTACCTCCTTATGCCACACTACCCTAAGACTGCGCAGGTCTAGCTGCAAATTCTAACGATTATACTCACTTTTGTTTCTGGGTGCAGGGGCACTAGCAGATGATGGAGCATGTCGCTTTTTCTTTTGCTGAAAGGGTGAACGGTTCACATTACTTTTCTGCTGCCCGAACTCATTCCCTGTCTTAGCCTTCTTGTTTCTAAACTCCTCCCTATCTCTCAGTTTCTCTTCCTCAACCTGCTGCACATATACCATTAACCTCGATATATCTATGTCCCCAATTAGCATCGCTCCCCTGCCCTGTTTGTTTGATAGACAGGACAACCCAGCAACAAACAAACTCATTATACTCCTCATATCCGCAACAATCTACGGAGCATAACGTGATAGTTGGATGAACTTCGACCCATACTCATGAACACTTAGTGACTCTTGCTTAAGGGTAAGAAACTCTCGTAGCTTAGCCTCTTTTCAGTTCTCGGGGAAAGAAACACCCCAAGAAAGCTTTCTCAAAACATGCCAAACTCGCAGGTGGTGCTTCCTCAGCTCTGCCCTTCTTCTACTGATCGAACCAAATCCTAGCGACACTCTTCATTTGGTCTGTAGCTAGTTCCACCCTCTCAGTATCAGCAATGTTCATGACATCAAATACCTTTTGCATCTCCTCAATAAAGTTCTCTGGATCCTCAGTAGTGCTTGAACCAGTGAAACTTGGAGGGTTCATCCTCGAGAACTCACAAATCCTCGAAGTGTCAGCCTTTTCTTGTCGAGCTCCTCTTTGTTGTCCAACCTTGTTAGTCACAGCTTGACTTAGCATCCTTATTGCTTCTCTGAACTCAGCATTAGTAACTTCTCCTTGGGATTGCACTTCACGTGCATTAGGTACCCCTTTCTCCTAAACGTTTCTCCTAGCAGGACGACCTCATACAGCTCTTCGAAGAGGCATAATTATCTAAAAACATGCGCAAGCATGAATTAGAAGAAACTTTTTAGAGATCAAACTCTAACGCATAAAATGAGTATGAAAGAAGTGAGAAACTTTCCTAAGTGTCACACCCTCCTAATTATAGATGTGGCACGCTTCACACCGATAATTAGGACTCTACTAACACGGCTTCATAGACTCCCTAGGACTCTTGAACTCTGTCCTATAATACCAAGTTTGTCACTCCCCGAGCCTACACCCCGCACGTGGCTGGCACTTGAGAACCATTGTTGGCCCCAAGTGAACCATTGGCCGAGCTTACTTACTCAGTGGAAGACTCTAAGCATTATTAGAATGATCAAATTCACTTACTCAATTGTTAAATAAAATAACTTAGAATGTTTAAAAGTCAACATTCAACTTGGCCAAAGTGGCAACTTAAGTCTTAACATAAGAAATAACAATGTAAGGACAACTAAACTACTAACTATCTGACTGTCTATGAAGACTCTAAAACAAAGAGGGATGTCTGGACAACACCCCGATCATCCTAACAATGAAATACTGAAAGCAAATGAAAAAGAGTCCTCCAGAATGCAAGGAGGCTCACCAACTAACTCTGAGTGCTTAACTGGATCAACGAGGCACTGGGTGATGATCCTAGTTACCTGTGTGTGCATCATAAGAAGATGCAGGACAACTGACATTAGTACATTGAACGTACGAGTATGCGAGTTGGAATGCTAAACACAACATAGGCTTGAAAAGAATCTGAAAGAAACACTTAACTTGGCTTTACTCAACTGCTGAATAACTTAACTCAATATAAAGTGATAAACATATGCAATTTATAGAAAGCTTGTAAAACAGTGGAAAACAACTTAGTTCATATAATAAAGTAATATAGTTTCTGTGGGAGATTCTCTAACCGACAACCACCACTATGAGCCTACGTGGTGATACATCGTCTTGCCCACGTTGCCAGAACTTTCCTATACTTTGCCGTTATATAGAACGCCTTAACTAAGTGGATCCACTAGTCTATGCTAAAACTATCTTAAGGAGTCATTTAAAATGTATGATCCTTTACTACCCATGATGGCTACATGGTTTATGGAGACTTGAGTTAATATGAATTCGCATCCCCATATCGGTGCTCAATACTACTCCCAAAATATACTTAGCTCATATGTTTTTAAAACAAACTTCTTTTTTTTGGTTTGAGATAATTACTTAAAACTTGGCTTTAAAGCTCTCTTGGAATCGATGTTCCCTTGGGTGTTCAAATGTGAAAACATTTTAAACTCTTGGGAATACTTAGTTCCCTTATAACTTTTGGAGAAATGAACTCAACTCTTTACTCTTTTCTTAACTTAAAACTTAAGTCTTAGAACAAAGTTAAAGAATTTGTGAAAGACTTTTGAAAAACTTTAATGAACTTCTAGACTTGCTTTCTTAACTTCTAAACTTGACTCTCAACTTTCCTTGAATTGAATTATGGATTGAAGGATTGTGATCTGTGATAGGAAAGATCTCATGATGTTTTGTAGTGTTTTTAGATAGCTAAACACGAGAAAAGATTATAAAAAGATCACTGTTTGAGGGCAGGTCCGTGACGCAGAGATGTATTTAAATTTTGGTCGCAAAAATACTTTTTGAGGCAGAACGGTCCGTGACCACTCCGCGACACGAAATAATTTTTCCCAAATCTGGGGAAAAGGTCCGCGACGCAGAGCCAGTGCCCAGTTTTGCCCGACTAACTTCCTTCTTCGTTTTCCAGCCCCAATATGCCCAAACTCGGTTCTTTTTCCCCAAATTTTTTTTAGATACATATACCCAGCAAATGTACCTAAGAACCTAACTCCAACCAACTCAATAATTTGACGTAATAATCTCAGAAATTTCTCAATCTCAGCCCAATTCAAGAATGACATCAAATTCAAGAATACATATCAAGGACATCAACTTTAAAACTCTTTTAGGACGAATTCACACTGAAATAAACGTGTTTGGCACGTGGGTGAACGAACCCAACGCTATGAAAGCCTCACATACCTTATAGGATTAAATCCTTGGCGAAATCCACACGAAAATATACATGAAATTGACGAACTTTGAACTTTTCTTCTCCTTTCTCCTCTTTTCTCTTTTCTCCAAGCCCTAGCGTGAACTTCAACTTTTCTAAACTGGTCTAATTCTGATTAGACCCTAAATTAATTACCAAAAATGAAATAAAACAATTGGTCAAGGAAAAGACTAAAATACCCTTCCAAAATTTGGATTAGACTTTCCTTATCTCAACAAACCAACTTCCAAAGGGCATTTCTCACTCGTACAAACTTGGAACAGTGCAAACTCTGCAGCGTTAAAAAGGTAATTTAACAATTTTTCCTACGGTATCTGGAAACACACCTAAATCATCTTGAGCTAGGAGTTATGGTCATTTGAAGTTGACTAAAAACCCAAACTTAACATATTTCTAGATTTTTTCATTCTTTCCTAAAATGACTATTTCCAATTCTAACTCTTTCTAGTTCTTTCAATTTAGCGAGATGTTACACTAAGCTTGTTTTATTAAATAATAAAAATCTTTTGTACCAATAGAGTACATGAATGTGTATCTTAATGAAGTCTTTGCTGAGTATTTGTTTTAAGGCTTCATACATAGCCACCCTCTTAAACTTCTCAGGATAATCCTTTTAGAAACTCGAACTAAGTCATGTTCCAATTGATGAACACCTCAATGCCTAGTAGAGTGTTCCAATATTAGACACTTTCTATTCATTTGGAAAAAACTTTTACGCGTGTTTTCATTCGTCTATTACGTAGTTAAGTTAACCATATAAAATATGTTCTCCTTTAATTATATGCATCAACCTCAAGTTGAAAATATCTTAAGTTTTTGCGGCTTATTAAGGTGAATGCATAGAATTAAAGGAGATGACATATATTTTATGTGGTTAACTTAACTACCAAATAGACATATGGGAACACACACAAAAAAGAGTTTCAAAATTTAAATCGAAAGTGTCTAATTTAAACACTTAATAGAAGTCGCAGTTTCCAATTAGAACAAAGCTTAGTTCGAGTGTCTAAATGAAATAGCATGGCAAGTTTAAGGGACGAATATGTATAAAGCCTAGTTTTTAAAAATATCTTGAAATGCATGCCATACTGGTCCATGAACTAGTAGAAGTGTATATCTTAATGTAGTCTTTGTTGAGTCTTTATGTTTAGAATATCTTAAATTTCCAGGCTGCTCAATTTTTATATGAAATGGTCAGCTGATATCATTGGCATCAGGGGCGGAGCTACAACCATCGGAGGATGGTCAATGGACCCTCCTTCATCGGATGATTATACTCTATATAATACAATTTTGAACACGCAATTGAATACTCTTAGTGAAATTTGTGATTTTGCCACTAGTTAGGAGTAGATTTGACCGATACTGAATATATCGCAAAGAACAAAATCATTTCTTTTTGTGAAGATTACTACCCCGCGACATGGACACTAAGGTTAGTTTCTTTAGGGAGAAGCGGCAACCTCATTCATTCATTCTAACAACTCATTTCCCTATTTTCTCTAGATCTAGTCTATATAATGATGATGAACGAGACTCTGTTAGTTATAGATGGGCGCGATCAGTGACTTATGATTAAATGTGCACTAATTTTGGTAATATGGACGACTATTAGTACTCGGCCTCAAACAATAGAGACTATTTTGGGCCTTTTCTCAGCTTTCCTCACTGGAACAACAAAAAATCTAGATCCGGCTCCTCTCCATTTCTTTTATCTCCATTTTCCCCAAGTTCTAGCTTGGATTGGAGACACATGTCATAGTTTAGAATTAATGGTTGAGATCTAATTGATTAAAGTAAAATCCTAATCATAGTTATTTACTTCCATATATTTGCTTCTTAAATATAGTTAGAATTAATGGTTGAGATCTAATTTTCACCTTAGTTTTTGTTTTTATTACATAAATGACTATATATGTCTCAAATTTCTTTGTCAAGTTTTGTCAAAGTACTCAAAATCGGTTGATCAAATACGGTATGGATCCCACATCCACACACATGTAGTTTCGACAAGAGTGCGGCAACAAAAGTGAAGAGTTCAAGCAACTTAGGTAGCTGTCACTCAAATGGTGAGATTGTAGTCTCCAAGAGCAATGAAGGCCTAACTAACTTATTTGAATTGCTGATAATCACCATTATTTTGGTAAGTTTCATCTATAACTAATTTAGATTGATATAAGTTCCATACAAGCTTAGAGATTAAGTGGTCTTTTGGTATGCGGGATGAGATAGACGAGGATGTTACGTCGGACTTTACATTGCTAAAAGAAATCCCCTCCAACAAGAAATTCCATGGCAGACTGATAAACCCATGACAGACAAAAAGAAAAAGAAAAAGTAGCTTAATAAAGGAAAAGGAAAAGCAAAAGTAAAAGCAAAAATATTGATTGGTAACTTTGAATAAGTAGTTAACTAACATGCTACTATAACAATTTAATTCACAAGTGTATATATAACTTAATATGTTTCTTCATCCAAAAAAGCATAACATGATTCAAGTATACATTATTAATTCAATTTACTCTATTATAGGAGGTTATTATTCTATTTTTCATGTTACCTTACAAGCTTGATATGATAGATAATAATGTTTCATCCAAAGGACTCACAAGTCCATAATTTGAGTGAATTTGGTAATCAGAAAAATAAATAATGGATCCAATATTGTACAATGTGGCAAAGAACGGCAGGAAATAGATTTTAAATAAATTAGGACCTTCCCTCGAAATTCAATTTTAGGCCATCAAAAGTATTGAACCGCTCATGTCCACTATAATGAGAAATGACACACCTTATAGTGACGAATACAATACTCAAAACAAATACTCTAACTCACTTTAAATTTAAACGCCTTATGATAACATGTTCATTCTCTTTATTTTTCCTCACAAACTATTTTTTCTTACGCACCGACCTCTCACTTCTCTCCACACTTGAGTGTTTTGTGATGTTTATTTATAGTATGTTGCTGAATGTTGCAACTGATGTCATTTGATGACATCATCACTAAAGAAAGAGAGGACCTAGCATTTTTTTTAATGACCGTGGTATTTGGACCTTGATTAATTCTACCCAATACCTATTACCTCCCATAAGGTACCTGCAAATTGCCTTGTATACTTACTTCTATATATTCTAAAAAGAAAGACTCAGCAGAGACTTCACCATTAAGAGTCTAATAGTTTTCCTATTTATTAATGTTTCATCCAGAGAAAACAAAGGACTTACATAAATTTGGATAATAGCCTAAATATGGATTACCTCTTCCATGATGCGTGCAACATCATTACCGAAAAGTTGGTCATTGCAGTCCTGCCCATGATATCTGTGACAAGAAGGATGATGGTGGTGGTACCTATGGACGGAGTCGGAGGGTACTCATGAGGACAGAGCTAGGTGAGATGAAAGAATAGTCAAAAACATTATGAATGCAGCTCAAATGCATTTAGTTGTGGCAACTCTGATAGTGACAGCTACTTGAACCGTTGGTTTTACATTGCTAGGAGGTACTGAAAGCGATACTAATAGCCCTAACAAAGGGTTGGAAATTCTATTAAGGAGAATAACAATCCGTGCATTTGTTGTTTCAGATGTCATCGCCTTAACATTCTCCGTTGCTGCTGTATTCGCCTACTTTTACATTGCAACAATAACAATAGTATCATCTGTACCGGAGTTACAAGTTATTGTCCAGCTTTATAATAACACAACTATATTGCAGCTTCTGTTGATGGCAGCAGGTCTAGTTGCATTTGCAACTGGCATGTATGCTACTTTAGCACATTCAGTTGGTCTTGCCGTTACTATATGTGTTATCAACGACATCTCTTACTATTTGGTCTACTTTATGATTCTTCTTCCTAAAACAAGGCCTAGTGAAAATCGTCTGAACAGATCCTTTGTGTGATCGACAATATAAGATTTCATGATGCAGCTTGCAATGTATTTGGTATTCTTCTGATAAACTTATGTTCTATATATAAACAAACATTTTTTCTCTTCTTCTTATGTGAAGAACTTCATTCATTGAAGATTAAAGTTATCTCCATTAAAGCGTTTGGAACTATATATACATGTACAATTTTGGATAGTGGCTTTAATTTATATGGTGTAGTTCGTCTTTGTATGTGATTACACTTTTTGACTAGAGAAACCAATTTAATGATCCTGCAAACTAAGTGTTTGATTAGATTCTTCATTGGCATCAGAGCATATGTTATTTGTTACCTAGTTATATATTTTATTGTTGAAAATATACTGTTTTCTGATTGTTAGTTGTTTTATATGACTGATGGATATATCCTAACAAAGAATTGATATTTGTTTGAATATTCTGCAAGGAAATAGATTAAATACAACCCTTTCTTTTGATGAATTTTTTTTAAAGATGTCAAGGTGGTAATACCTCTATGTAATTTTGATCAATGAAAAAAAGGAGGATAAAACACTATTGTCCAAATATATTTCTCTTGTTTTCATAACAAAATTTGGCAAAGGAAATATTCTTTGGTGAATATTTGTGCAAGTTTAGTTTATTCTTGTATTGGTTAAGAAAAAATATAAAAAATATGGCAGAGGAATATTAGTGATATAAATGATCAAATATGGCTATGAATGGATCACACTCCCTCTGTTCCATTTTGGTTCTTATGACTTGTTTTTCTTTTTGAATCATAGGTATGCATACGATAATGATAAATTTTGAGAGTAGATCATAATCGATTTTCTTTGTTAAATCCTTGCGAGATCCTTTTATACAAACTGTTGTATAATTATTTCATTACCTGGTTCGTCCTAATCTACAGAAAATTGTGGTATTGATAAGGACATCAAGATGAGTTTCCACAAAACAACAAAAGGATAAGGTGAAAAGTTTGATTGACAATTTGGTTAATCTCTCTCCACAATCCTGATAAGTCTTAATGCTCCCATATGTTTTGATGATCTCCTCACAAGTGCAGGACCCGGTCCTCTGCAGAGTATGCTCGTCCAGGACCATATTCTATACACCTGTAAAGCTGTCCTCATCAGAAGTTGGTGAGGTCGTCAGAGTACTACACCAACCAGAAGGGACGAGGTTGTTTGTCCAATGGGTACTAACTTGATGTTTGATATATTCAAGACAACAAACAACAAATCAGACTCATTCATTCAAAGAGAGATATTCAAACTTCAAAACAACAAGGGACCTAATAGATTGTATTATTGCTTCCTGAATCAGTTGTTACTTTGATTGTTTGTATTTGTGCGTATATTGTAGGAATTGTTTCGCCTGTGATAGAAACATTTCAAACTTCGGTGCATCATTGTAAAAACTTAGTTGTGGGTAACTTAATGTTTTACTACACAGTCTATATTAATCAGTTGGGTTAGTAAAGTGGGCAATGCAGGCACTGCTTTGGCTCATTGGGTGATAGTGGATTACGCAAGATAGAGATTAGTAGGTTAATCTTGTGTGTGTTGTAAACTGGGTTTTACTTTGTCTTGTGAAGTATAGTAAAAGCAGTTTGAAAAGTCCTGTGAGAACAGGTCGTGGTTTTACTCTCTTGAGCAAGGAGGTTTCCACGTAAAGTTGTGTGTACAATCTTTACTTTCAGTACTTATTTGCTTTCTGTCATTGTAATCGTGCTAAGGACAGGGTCCTATCGTAACTAAGTGGACGCATACATTCCAAAAAGTGGTATCAGAGCTTGACTCTTCGATTTGGGTAACACTAAGAAGAGAAAAGATCCTGAAGGAATGGCTGCTCCATCCAACATGGAAGAAGGTCAGTCAACCACCCGACCACCTCGTTTCAATGGACAGTTCTATAGCTGGTGGAAGAATCGCATGCATGACTACATCAATGCTAAAGACACTGAGTTGTGGGATGTAATTCTTCATGG